CCAATACATGTGCAGTACTTATACTCTCTTTGTGTTCACAACAAATACCTAAACACTTGTCATCTCTTGGATCCAACTCTTCGCCCATACTTACGGCCAATGCGTTGACCAACTTGTTTGCCCATCAGATCCAGCGGACGCCCAACGCGTTGATCGATAGCCGCGATGAAACTCTTGAAACCCAATTGGATTAATCACAACGGTTTGCAAACCAAGACATTTAAATGCCCTCTCATTGAAACCACTCTTTGATAACCGCTTCCAACCATAGGTCGGCCCATATTCTCGTTGGACATCCATCCGGATGGCAGTCGTGTGGCCACCGGTGGTCAGGGGGACGACTCGGGCCGAGTGGTCGTCTGGAATATGGCTCCCATTGTGGACGAGTCTCTGGAGGAGAGCGAAAACGTGCCGAAAGTGTTGTGTCAAATGGACAATCACTTGGCGTGTGTTAACTCTGTCCGCTGGTCACTCAGCGGCAAGTACTTGGCCTCAGCCGGTGATGACAAAGTGATTATAGTGTGGACAATAGGCGCCCGATATGCCAACACCAATGGCTTTGTGGGCAATGTTGAACAGTATCGGGCGGTTAGCACTTTGCGCGCCCATTCGGGTGACATTCTGGACCTGAGTTGGTCTCCCGGTGACAATTGGTTGGCCTCGTGTTCAGTGGACAACACGATTGTGGTGTGGAATGCGTTGAAATGGGGTGAAATTGTGACCACTCTTAGGGGACACACCGGTCTCGTTAAGGGCGTGACGTGGGATCCGATTGGCAAATACTTGGCCACTCAGTCGGACGACAAGTCTCTACGTATTTGGCGAGTAAGCGATTGGACTGAAGAGACAGTCGTGACGGAGCCGTTCCGTGAGTGCGGCGGCACAACCCACGTGTTGCGCGAGAGCACCAGTGGCCTGCCGGTCAAGGACCACAGCCGCGTGCGCTACTTGTTAAACCCAAGTCAGCGGGTTTAGTAACTTGCGGTCTTGACCTGTTGCTCAGCTCTGAAACACCCGGTGGCTTTCCCCATCGCTTGCGTTCGGTTCAACTCAAACATCATGTGTTTGCCGTCCAAACAGAACCCAAAGAAATCGCACAAATTGTGTTGCATTGCGATCGGCAGTCGGGACCGATCGCTGTCCGTTTGGATGACATCGCGAAAGCGGCCCATTCTTGTCCTCCACGACCTCTTTGACAATTCAGTTCTGGACCTCTCGTGGTCTCAGAACGGCTATCAATTGATGGCCTGTTCATGGGATGGAAGCGTCGCTTTCATCGAGTTTACTGATAAAGAGATCGGCAATACTATGACATCCGATGAGAAAGTTTTGTATAAACAAAAACTTTACGGCAAATCACTGAAGACATCGTCGCCGACACACCATCTCATAGAAGATCCCGATATTATGGTTCTTCACGAGCAGAAAAAGTTGCAACAAAATGGTTGCCATTCAAGCAACGAGTCGTCTAATAAGGTGGTGACGAATGACAGTAGAAACAGTTCCCAATCGACATCCAGAGTAAACAAAGGGCCGACAGATAAGCAGATTGAGGTGATTCTGGCCGACGGGCGCCGACGGATAACACCCCTCTATATACCTCCTTTGGAAGGCATTGCATTCAGTCAACAACCGACCACTTTTAGCTCTTCCAGCGAACAGAAGACAAAGATCGTGATTGAAAAGCACGACGAGTCCAACAGTTCAATGCACTGCTCGCCCAACAAACAGACCACACAAGTGGTCAAAGCGCTGCCAAACATGAATACCGAACCCATTAAAGTGAACAAACCGTCTGCCGGACAGACACCCGATCCAAGACGTAAGACCAGTAGTGGATTAGAGAGTCCTCAGAGCAAACGAAAACCCGGTCGACCGCCCGTTCCCGGCGTTAAGGAGCCCACAATCAAACCCACCAATGATTGTCCCAAAAGTAGTGTCACAACTATTGAACCGATGCCTAAAGCAGTGGCTAAGCACGTGTCGAGTCATACGGCCAGAGAGGGCCGCTCTTCGCCGGCCACTAATTACTATTTACCGGCGCTTAAGTTGGAGAGAATGGCGACCGTAAAAGTGACGATGAAATGTGATAATAAAAAGGACAGCACGAAGAACGCGTCGGTCGATGTGGAGAATTGGATCAATTCAAGCAATCTGTCGGCTCTGAGGCTCAACCAGAACGAGGAGAGACAGTGGCAGGTCTTGATAAGTGCCAGAATCAATGGCGTGGCCGGCAATGAGCACCTGATCGCCTGTGCGTGCGATGACAACACACTATCGGTGTTCACGACGAGCACCGGTCGACGGCTGCAGACGCCGATCGTGTTGAACGCGCCGATCGCACGGCTCACGTGTCAGGCCTATAAGATTATGGCCATCACTACACAAGCGCTGCTATGGATGTGGGATATGAGCCAACATAAGGTGATCATCAAAGGGGAGTCACTATTGCCGCTCCTGACCGTGTTGCTGCACAGATAAGACTCGTGACCATATTGTCTGTGCCCAAGCGGAGAATAAACGAATAGCTCGCCATTCAGGATACACAAACTGCTCCCCAAGCCGTGAACCTGAGACCAAAGGTTGTGATTCGATGCCCTCAATCACTGCACTGATCAGAAGCCGCACGCGTTTGACCCGAGCTCTCTTCCCCTGTCGACCATTCAGTCGCAAACAAAGTAAGCCATCAATTGATCCGCTAATGAGTGCTTTAAAACTAAAATGAATTGCTTTTGCTTTGATAGGACAAACCGATCGATGCATACATTGTTCGTGACCAACGCTAACCTCCAACAGTCGGGTGTATTGAGTTATATCGACCAACAGTTGGCCGCGTCTTTCGTGATCGGGTCGGCTAAAGAGTACCGCTTTTGGCTGATAGCGTTGGCCCAACACCTGTCCAAAGAGTCGATGGAGAGTCGCCTGCGGGAGGTGTGTCAGTACCTGATCGGCCCGGTTTTCAAGTCGTCTAAAAGCCAATGGGATCCCAAGATATTGGGCAACAATAAGCACGATATGCTCAAAGAGGTTCTGTCTATATTCGCCACTAATCTACGACTTCAACGCCTGTACACAGAATTCAAGGAACAGTTGGAACAGATGTCCACTCTATGAACACTTAACAAATACATGACTACCTTTTTTACGGACAACTTTTTGTCTTAAATCATAATTAACTAATTAATTGTAAATATAAGGTATATATCATTATATATACACATAATTATACAGAATCACATCATTTCATAATTTATTTTTTTCTCAAAATATATAACAATCAGTTTTTTAATATTTATATAATGTGTTGTAAATTTGTTATTATCGTCATAATTGGTTGGCCTAATTCGCGCTTCAAATTCACGACTTACTGCTATTCACCTGATTTAGTGTCTCTTTTTAGTCACTTAAACCGAAAATAACTTAAAACTTATTTACAAATGATTTACAAAATATGAGTTGCGATGACTGGGTGTGAGGTTTGTAAAGGGGATGAGTATTTTATCCTATGGTTTACTAAATAACTAACTCCTAATGTTTGCAACTATAAGCGATTCCTGGTATAAGAGTTTCGCTTCGATTTTAGGCCTATTCTCGAAGAGCGCCGCTCTGTTCTGCACTTCGCCTCTCTTTACCCAATGATGGTATACACGGAAAGCACAGCCGTCTATAGCCTGTCAACAAAATAGCCATTTATTAATACCGTATAACAGTATTTGCTTTTCGACATTAAGGTCGTCGACACTTACTTTTCTCAACGTCTTAATCTTATATGGATTAATTCTGACCATCTCTAAGCTTAACGGTTCGGGCGTATGTTTTAATCTCTTAATCCGGATCATCGCCCGCACAGTCATTATCGCCAATTTAAACGTTTTTCTAGCGTTGAATGGGCCGACACGTGAGCGCTATATCGTTATCATATGGTTTGGACACGGATTAGAGTCGTTGACACGCATTGAATATTCAATACAATTTAATACATACCACCGTTTGAAAGAAGCCATGCTTTAGGGCATCGGCGGCGCTGATCCTCTCACTCGGATCGATAACCAATAGTTTTTTAATCTATTTATGGCGACAAAAGAGGAAAAATTCAATTAAATTCAACACAATCTCAATGACAATGTGAAGACTGACGAGATCTTTGGGCTGATCTGTGATGTCATCCCATTCAGGGCTACAGAACTCGTATTTGCCTTCCATGATATTCCTCAACATAATCATCTGCTTTCTGTGCCAAAAGGGCGGAAATCCCACTAACAGTGTATACATAATGACACCACAGGCCCACAGATCCACTTCTTTGCCGTAACCATCGGAGTTCTCATACATTGACGCGCGTAATAATTCCGGAGCCAAATAACCGGGAGTTCCGCACAGGTCTGCAACACAACGGCGAACAACATATAAGAATACAATCCAATTGAGCCAATCATATACCGTATAGCCGTTCCTTCGGTGATATACCCCTCGCGAAACCGAAATCAGAGATTTTTATATTCAAATTATCGTCGAGTAAAATATTTTCAGGCTATAAACGACAATTCAAACTTAGTTCAAACACTTATAACTTGGTTCAGCCATCACTCACTTTAAGGTCTCTGTGGACCACATTATGTGAATGGATATAATGAAGTCCTTCGAACAGTTGTTTCATTATAGCTCTAAAGCACAGAATATTCTGTTAAAGCAATCGTTTAAATACAACAAAAATAATAATTCAATCAATACTTTGTCCGTTTCTCAGATAAGGCCACAACACTCGTGAGATAATCAAAAAGCTCTCCATTCTTGCATCTGATTAATACAAATCATAACAGAATTGAGTAAAGAATCGATGTCCAAATGAGTTGTACATTTCGGTACACATTATCAATACTTACAATTCAAAGACCAGAAATACATAAGTGTTTGATTCAAACACATCGTGTAATTCGACTGCAAATAAAAAGATTAAAAAACGTTAAAAACAGTGATTTTTGTTTGGCTTGAAGTCAGTAATGGAAATATTAGAGCAAAGACTAAAAATTTGTGAAATTATTAGAGACAAAGAATTTAATCGTAAGATAATTGCAAACATTCAGATAAATGTCAGAAAAATTGATTTCAATGTCAAGAGTGACGTTAACATTGACTGCATTTATTAAGTGAGAAACTGTTAATCTTTTAGGAAAAAACTATATCTATAAATAAGATAGCAATTGGTTTCGTAATCTAATCTCAAGACTGACTTCTGGGGTTTGATTGGACGCACAGATACAACGGCTGACCACAATAACTATGCAAAGAACCAATTTTCTAACCACTTTACCGTACAAACAATATTGTTTGTATTGCACTATCGTTTGCATAACATGTTTGTAATAAATATAACATTTGTTGTAGACTTTGGTCACACGTTTTTAGATGGAAATTCACACTAAAAAATATGATCAATCTTTGATCTGTTCGCAGACTTTACACATTATTAAGTCTGAAGTTACACATGTATCGCATGTTTTCAATACTATTGCTATAAATAGCAAACAATTAAACAGTACTTAAAGTACATCTCTTTGAAAATGATATGGTATTCAAAATAGCTTTCAATCAAACAATTAGTTGTGAATTAAATTGAAAAATAGCACTAAATAGCAGAGCATGTCATCCATTAAAACTAAACAGTGAGCAATGATAAGCAAAACACTGACTGATATACGGGTGTCCGGCCGACAGGCGAAGAATATTGATCTCTCGAAGTGATGCCTCGCGTAGAGTCAGGCCCTGAGAGTCTTCGAGATCGGCGCTCACGTCGATAATCTTGGCGGCGAACTCACGGCCCGTCTCTTTCTCCACACATCGGCGAACAGTACTCGACACACCTCTGGAGTGGGAAAGAGAGATGTGATCAGTGATGGCATCAGCCGTTATATAACTCGGACAGAGAGTGAGGCATACCTTCCGAGCACTTCTTTGGGCTCGTATTTGATGTAGAAGTCTTTGGCCACGTCTTCGTCGGGCAAATCGTCCATTTCGTCGGTGTTATTGTAGCCAATGTTGGCCACCATTTCCCTCTGCACTGGGAGTCGCGGCCAACTCGTGTGACCACAACTACTGCACCGCAAGACACAGACAATGACAGCACTCGACGACTGGCTTTGAGGCCAAACACACCACAAGTGGACAACAGATTCACTCAATACTCGTATTTGTGTTTCGCTTATAATTGCGTTCAACAAAACACAGACTATTATCGATATAATGGACACAAATAGCACTTCTACTCTATATTGTTATGTATTGTATTTGATTGTGTAATCACTGGTTAAGTCCTTTTCACTGTTTAGCACAACCTTTGCGTACACTTTATGTACACTTTCTTTCACTTTCAATATTACAGCACAAAGTCATATGTTTTACTCCACATTCATAGACAGCGTTACGCGTCTGACATCCATATGGAAAGCATTGCCCCCTAAATGAACCCTTTTATACCATTCCTAATGCCATATATTATAGCCATATATTTGGTGTTTATTTATGGGATTAAATATTCTTTACTTTTTCGCATTGAAATGCTTTGAAAAGTTTTTGTTGTTGTTTTTAAAGCAAAAATTTCCGTATATTTGATTATCTCCGATACGATAAACATAAATAAACACATAAACTATGTTAACATTTAATTTATTGTTGTGGAAAACTTTCAGATTCTGCATACATTTACACAATTAATACATAGTTAATGTACATGTACAGTAAATGTGATGTACTCGTACTCTATTAATATTTTAATACACACTTCCCTCAATTTTATGGGCAAATATAGATTTCTAAATTCACTCACATATACCCCTACTTTAATCTTAAAATCCCTTTAATTTTATGAACAATATTTTAAGAATCGATTCTAAAAAGCTTTCGATTGTATGAACACAAGCTATAGTACATGTACATTATTTAACAATTTTAAATTTTCCATAAGAATATTGTGATAAAACATAAACACAATTAAATTTATTAATTCAATTAAGGAAACGATATTTGGATTTCTTTCGCTAACAATTTGAAACTAAATGTGAAATTAACTAATTGTTTCTTTGGCTAAATGTTTGTATTGACTGTAAATTCGAGTTTTATGTATTATATACAGAACTCGATTTTATAAACTCTGGTCGCAGTGTTCATCAAATCAAGGGAATTATGTAACTTGTAATTGCAAATAGGGTGACCAAACGTTCTCAGAGGCAGAGTCCTTGGTTTGACAATTTTCTTATCCCAGTTTTTATGAGTTCATCGCATGATATTCAGTAGTTTATTGTCGATCAAAAGTGGGTTCAGAAACTCATGCCATGACTCCAACTTTAGTGATGCAATTTGTTGTGAATTACATAAATATTTTGCAATTAGGAAATAATAATGTAATTATCAACATCCAGTGCAAAGAAAGCTGATTATCAGCCGAAAATACACACGAAGTACAGATATTTTATAATTTTGACTTATATTTGCGTCTAATATGAGAAATCTACTGCATTAGTATGATGTGGGCCTAGATTTATATCTTTGTTCATTAAAAATTAACTTATGATTTTAGTGAACACTATTTCTAATCCATTGAATAACCTTTTGGTCATTCTAATAACTAAAACATATGCATTGATAAGCAGTCAAATATGCAATTATAAATCTTTTAATATGTGAAATAAATATTATTTAATATATTTTATCAACAAAATGAAAAGTTATACAGTGCAATTCTTGGGCGAATTTCTCTTAGGGAATCACCTCCTCATAAGGAATGGTTGTGAAATATTTATTGGATTTCCTATACTTATAAGCGACATATTTACTAAATTAATCCATAATTTGTGTAATTTAAACTAAATTAACATCTATTATCAAAAGTAATTTATTTAAATACTTAACAGAATACTTAATTTGTCGTCAATTAATTATAATTTTATTTTACAGAATTTTAGCATTCATACTTTAAGTAAAATATTCACAGAATATGTAACAGAATTTGCAACTCTTTAATAAATTTGAAATATTTAAAGAACCAAAATAATTTTCGTAATTATGTTAAGTGGAAAACGTTTTAATTAGTTTGATGTTTATATATTTCACCACATTAAAAGTATCTAGTTAAAAAGAATATAAAGATTTCACATTTTTATGAAAATTTAGCCTGAATGAAATGTATTCATACAATTTTCAAAAGTAGCTACATTTTACCCGTAATTTGTGTGTCAATAGAAACTCATCACTGGTTTGCGAAGTCATGTCGACGTCATTGATGTGTGAAATACAAGTGAATCGGAAAACACGTCAGTATTATAGCGATTGTCAAGAGTTTAGCGATTAAACAGTGGTTTGAATCCCGATATCAACGCAAACAACACATCGCATACCG